AAAAAAAAAAGAAAAAATAAAAGAAATTGTTAGGGCTTTCGATAGAATAAATAAAGAGATAACGATAAAAAAAAATATTTATTATTATTGTCGCCGCCGATCTATGCCGTAAGAAGAAAGAAAACTTTATCGTCGACTGCTCGTCTTGCTTAACCGAACGCTTAACCCGTTAATTGGCAATTCACCGAAGAAGCGACAATGACGGTCCTGCACTGGTGCAAATTGAAAAATTTGCTCGTACACTCGCATCAGCCTGTAGACTGTCATTGTCCAATACTGATCTTTACATATACATACATACAAACATACATACATATATATATATATATATATATATATATATATATATAAACATATATACTAATATGTATGTCTATATGTAGCGTAGTAAATAATTCGAACGAAAAAATTCAAGTCATCGTTTGATTTATGACGTCGATCTGACGTCGATGTATATATTATAGGGGAAAAAAAAAAGAAAGAAAAAAAATAAAAAAGAAGAAAAAGACAATAAAGAAAAAAATTGTTTCAAAATAAGATATTTATATGTATATATGACTTTAGGACGATTTTAATATATTATTATTTTAATATTTAATGTATAATTCTTTTTTCTTTTTCCATTTCTTTTTATTCCTTTTCTTTTCTTTTATTTTATTTTCTTTTATTTTATCGAGAAACTTGTCTATCTCATCGAAATCACAGAATCCACAAGAGAAACGTAACGGGGAATTTACCGAGGCTATAATTATAGAAGGATAAACGTGGGAATCTATTATGTGACGTCTCGAGAAATTTCCTTTTCGTCTTTGCCACGTGGCAACGTGCGCATATTAATTATTTTCATTTTAATGAAAGAGGAAGCCTTCGAATACTTACGTACGAATTGTAGGAAACATACAAGATAATTTCGAAAGAATTGGATAATATATAGAAAAAGAGTAAAAAAAAGAGAAAGAGAGAGAGAGAGAGAGAGAGAGAGAGAGAAAAAAAATTGTTTCGAAAAAGAAAGGCTATACAATCAACGCGATCGACGCTATAAACGAACCGAATCGAATCTAACCGAATCGAACGAAAAACTGAAAGATAGTTAATTTACAAATTCTACCAATAATAATCGTAACATCCATCTGTTCGCGATATAACGTTATGGTTAATTTCGTTCAACGCGAGTAGTAGTCCGGAAAAAGAATTATCTAGTCTGCCATTACTCTCTCTCGTTCTTTTCTTTTTTTTTTTCATTTCATACGTACACACACGCACACATACACAGAGGACATGTGAGTAAACTAAATTAAAAAAAAAAAAAAGAAAGAAAGAAACAAGGAAAGAATGAAAGAAAGAAAAGAAAAATATTTTCAAAGAGTTCGCAAGGTACGTGCGTGCGGTTGCTTGAGCGCGTAAAATCGTCGTAGTGACGTTTGACCCTCATAAATGTTTCACTCGTGCACCTCGAACCCACGCAAATTTTACAACGTGCTCCGAGGTGTATCGAGCAGACCAAACATCTCAGCGTGATTTTGTTGGTCAGTTCAACGAAAAAAGTAAAACAAAAAACAGGTAATATACATAACTACATATGTAAAAAATTTCTCTACATTGGATTATTTTTTGATTCGGTTACTATATAACATATATATATATATATATATATATATATATATATATTCGAAACATGATATAATTTCTTAAGCAAGCAAATATTTTTCGATAAATATTTAAAATTTATTAGCCAACGTGTAAACATTGTTCTTCTTTTCCTTTATATATATGTATACATAAATACATAATGGACACGTATGTAAAAAAAAAATAAATAAAAAAACGAAAAGTTACTTAAAGACAAACTTATGGTATAAATTATAAATAACGAATATTAACATTTGGATAGAAATTAATAATTCATATCTAGACGAATTAAATGACAATAAGTATTTATTATTTAAATATAGTAATAAATATTTCAATAGAAAAAAAAAAAAGAAAAAAAGAAATAAAATATAAAAACGAAAAAAAAAAGAAACGAAAGCAAAAAAAGAAATAAAGAAAAATAACATATAGAAATATAAGAAATATTAAAGATTAAAATATAAGAAATATCAAAGTTGCATGACATTATAGATAATTAACTATAGAAAGATAAAAACAGGTTTGCAACCTTTGGAAATATATATTTTACGTTTTTTTTAAATCTTCTCCTTTTTTTTTACATTCCTTTTTTTTTTGTTTTCTTTGTTTATTTGTTTCTTGTTTTTTTTTTTTTCATATTTTACAACAACGTATACGTAACGTAAATCTTAAGAAAAATATCGTTTGAAGAAAAAGTTCTGGGGTAAGATCGAAATATCTTTGAAATGTTTCAACGCGTTCAATAACGAATTTGTTTTCTTTTTCTTGAGGGAGACTTACGAAATGAAAGAGAGACGTGCGTCCGGCCGGTTTTCTCGGTCGCAGCAAGCTCGTTCTTATCGCTTCGTGTCGTTCCTCGCGCCATGTTGGATAGAGAGTCGTTGCAAGGCTCGGCAAGCTTCGAAAGAAAGAGCGAGAGAACGAGAGAAAGAGAGAGAGAGAGAGAGAGAGAGAAAGAGAGAGAGAGAGAGAAGTCGAGTCTCTCCAACCCTTTTCATCCGATAGCGGGACAAAGAAAAGGCGACGGTGGCGAGCACGGTGGCGAGTCAAACGATATAACCAAGTGCTTTTCAACGTAAGCAAGGAAAAAAGAAAAAAAAAAAAAAGAAAAAATAAATTCACGATTGGTCTCCCTGTTTTTCGTCTTTTTTGCATTTTATTTATTTATTTATTTATTTTTTCTTTGTTTTTCGTTTACTTTTCATTTTTATTTATTTATTTATTCTATTTTTCTTTTTCTTTTTTTTTTTCCCTTTTTCTTTTTTCTTTCTTCTTTTATTATTATATTTATAACGTAAGAAACACTTATCGAATTTGAATTCAATTAATTTTTTGACGTTTGATCAGATTGAAATACATTTTTCATATTAATATAAATTAATTTTCTTCGTAATCTACAACATACGCATATATCAGTGATTGAAAAGAGAAAATAATACGTATCGTCTTAACGAATATATAATGTGATGTCTCTGGCACGTCATCGATTTCTATCTTCTTTATGATTAATATGTATATATATATATATATATATATATATATATATATATATATTTGTTATAAATACATATATATATATATATATATATATATATATATATATTTGTTATAAATACATACGTATACGTACTTTATTGAAAAGTATTAATACACGACATAACATGAAAAAAAAAGAAAAAGAAAAAAAAAAATAAGTAAGAAAATAATATTTAAAGCTCATTCGTAAGACATTGATCTTAAAAGATCGACGAATAAGAAAGAAAGATAGAAAAAAAAAACAACGAAACAAAAAAGTCAACAATCACGATACGTAAGAACATTGCAGACATGACGTCTTTCGTCTATTAAATATCTTCTAATAAAATTTTATGAATTTTTTCTAAACAAGATCAAAGAATGTACTATGTAATATACCACTTCATAAGAACGTAAGAACTTAGCCGTAGATACTTAAGTAAGTACATAGTCCTTAAGTATTTTCTTTTTTATTCCTTTTTTTTTTTTTTTTTCTTTTAAGAGAGAGGGAAAATCCGTACCGTACGAAGATTGTTCGAACAATCACAGTCAAGAGTTATAATTCGATAGAAGCGTTAGAAGTGCAATAGAGTATTTCCCACTTGTGATCTTCCTCTTTTCGTAAGCGTCAGTTCAAGAGAAGGAAAAGAAGAGATAGATGAATAAGAAGATTAAGATTAAGATGAAGATGGAGATAAAGATAAAGATAAAGATGAAGATGAAGATGAAGATGAAGAAGAGAAGAAGAAGAAGAAGAAGAAGAAGGTGTCAGGGTCGTGCCGCTTTCAGGGACGTCGACTTCTCAAACTTGCTTACTTCTTTTTCTTCTTCATCATCCTCCACTCCTTTTTCTTTCTATTCTTTTCCCCCTCATCCCTCCCCTCTCACCCCTACCCATTTCCCTCTCTTTTCCCCTGCTCCCTCGAAATGGGGGTTGGAAGGAACAATGTATTTTCGTTTTTCGTACGGCTATATAATTATGCCGACCGTACGGGAGAATCGATTTATAACGAGTTCAATTCTCGTCGTTGGATTGGAATTTAAAAAGATGACGACAAAAGGAAAAAAAATAAGGAGAAAAAAAAAATTTAAAAGAAAACAATTTCTATGCCAAGACAATTTTCATCCCCAATCCCCATTGCACCCTCGACACCCACATTATTTCTCCCAAAAAGCATTTCTAACGATAAAAGAGTAAAAATTTATTAAAGGAAAAACTCGAGTAAGTCTCCGACTTTGTTGTTTGTTACGCTCCTGTTCGCAACGTGGGATGTTGCGAGAGACAGAGACAGAGACAGATAGACAGAGAGAGAGCGCGAGAGAGAGAGAGAAAGAAGGATGGAGAGAAGGATAACGACGAGTGCGAGAGAGATAGACTAACGATAGGACGTAGAAAAGAGCGAAAGGGTTACAAACGTACCGGGAACGAGACGAACGTGCTGGTCGAAGATAAACGAACGGTCTAGCCACTAGAAAGCGAGAGAGAGAGAGAGAGAGAGAGAGAGAGAGAGAGAGAGAGAAAGAGTCGAATGACGAAGTGAATGAACGAGTATGTCGAAGAAGTAAAGAGAGACAGAGATGGATAATAAGATAGGAAGAAAGAAAGAGATAGATAGAAAGATAGATAGATAGATAGAAAGATACAGAGAGAGAGAGAGAGAGAGAGAGAGAGAGAGGGAGGGAGAAGCAATGAAAGACAAGGACGACGGGAAGGAGACGAAGAGTTTAAGGAAATCGTGGATCTCTCGAAGGAAAGCATCTGGAGTCTGAGAAACACTGCCAGTAGAGATAAGCGATGGTCCAGGGCGGTGCGCACGTGTATGTGTACGTGCACATGTATATACAAGTGTATGTATGCATGTATATATCTGTACGGTTATGTGTACGTGTATGTATGCGTACGTATAAGAACCAGCCTGGAGAGTCTCGTGCGAGAGATCCATGTAATTCCAAGAAGCGTACAGTCATCGGAAAAAGTGAAGGGGTTATTCGACGAAAGAAAAGAGAGATGAGAAAGGAAGAGAAGAAAATACGTCTCGGTGGTGGTCTTCGTCGTTGACTTTTCGAGGTAGGGTGGACGGTTGAAGGTGGGGTGGTAGCTATGGTGGGGCTTGAATCGAATTGAGTTGGGTTGGGTTGGAATGGATTGGAATGGATCGGATTGAGTTAGGTTGGGTTGGGTTGGGTTGGGGACAGACCTGCATCATTGCTACAGCGAATATTCGAAGAAAGTTCCTTGACTTGTGATTTTGTGACATTTGTTATTGTTATTGTTTTTGCCGTCGTCTTTGTCGTCGTCATCGTCTTTGTCGTCGTCGTCGTCGTCGTCGTCGTCGTCGTCGACGTCGTCGTCGTCGTTATTGTTGTTATTGTTGTTGTTGTCTTGGTTGTTATCGCTTTTCTTAACAAAAGATTTTTTTAATATTCTCAATGTCTTATCAACATTTTATTATTATTATTATTTGTTGTTATTATTATTATTTTCTTTATCTTTTTTTCTTTGTTTTTTTAATTTTCCGTGAATATTTTGATGCTTTAACTAATGTTGTTGCTATTATTGCTTTCCTTGACAAAAGATTTCTTAAATATTTTTTTAATGTTTTCAATGCTTTACATTATTATTATTATTATTATTATTATTATTATTATTATTTTCTTTTCCTTATTTTCGTGAGTATTTCGATGATTTAATCGATCGTTTGACATTCTTCTTTCTTTCTAAAATGAACCTTATTAAAACATTGCTGATCAAACATTTTATTTCTAATGCGACAAATAAAACAATTATTTTTTTCATTTTAGATAGTTTTAAATTGTCTCTTGTCTCTTATTGAACAATGGTCTTTGTTATGATGAAAAGAAAAAAAAAAAGAAAAGAAAAAAAACGAAAAACAAAAATTAAAATGATCTGATCTATTAACTCTAGCACAGAAACACTCGATATTAATACTTTTCGTGTTTATTTTCATTGTTGATACATTAAAAAAAAAAAATGCGATATGTGTTAATTATTACACAATTATTTTAATATCATAGGTGTACGTGTTTCTATGTCTATCTGTGTGTGTGTGTATGTGTATACGTATATCTTACAAGTGGGTTGTAAAATTTGGATCTTTTTCTGTTTCAATGAAAAAAATATTTGACACTTATGTCTTAAATGATACGTAAAAGAGAATAAAGGAACCACGCGGAGGGTCGAAATTTTATTAGCCTGAATTTTTTTTTTATTTTTCCCTTTTTCCTTTTTTCTTCTGCTACGTTATTCACACTCTCACAAAGTTTCTTGGGAAGCATTAGTCAGAGGGAAAAGCACGAGAACAGCGGCAGTGGGCATCTAAAAATATTATCACGAATATTGAGATGGAAAAATTAAAAGATTCTCCTTTCTGGAGTCTTCCTTCCTTTCGGTGCTTCTCTCTCTCTCTCTCTCTCTCTCTCTCTCTCTCTCTCTCTCTTTCTCTTTTCTTTTCTTGTAATCGATTTTTTCTTTTTTTTTATTATCGATTTTTCTCTTTTGCACAAACGTACCGTAAGTAAGTAAGCAATTCTCAATGTGAAAGGGATGTATTCATAAATTTCTTTTTTACATCGACCAGAAGGCGTAGCACGAAAGAGAGAAAGAGAGAGAGAAAGTGAGAGAGAGAGAGAGAGAGAGCGAGAGAGAGAGAGAGGGAGAGAGAAAGAGAGAAAGAAAGACAAGGGACCGTTTGTATTTAATTCTTTGCCTACTCAACGAAGCCTCTCTCTTCTAACGAAAAGAAATCGTCGTTTCATCGTTTCCTAAACATTCCTGTAATACGATAAAGAAAATCATTATGGATTGCGATTCTTCCATTTCACTATTTTTAATCAAAATCGATATCGATATTGATCGATCGTATTTTTAAACGTATAAATTATAATAGAATGATAAATTATGCAACAGGTTTGGAAAGTGAGTCGAGTGCAAAATTTTCCTTTAAAAAAAAAAAAAAAAAACAAAAAAAGAGAAAAAAAAAAGAAATAAAGGCAAGAACAGAAACAAAATAAAAAAAAGGAGAGAGATAGATAGATAGATAGATAGATAGAGAGAGAGAGAGAGAGAGAGGGAGAAATGGCGGACGACGACTTCCGTTTGAATGTCGTAGTAGCATCGAGCGCATCATCGTACATAAGTACTTACTTCGGTCTTTGTTCTCTCGTGAATGACACCGATACGAGTCAACCCACGTGTTCGGATATGTCCATGTATAAAATGCCAAATATAAAACGTGAGTTTGTAAGTATACTCGTGTATTTGTCAAATGAAATCGTCCATTGTCTTTTCTTTCTCTCCCTCTCTCTCTCTCTCTCTCTCACTCTGTCTCTCTGTCT